GCTGATGTTGTTTGTTGCCGCTTCAGCTGCAATTGGCTGCCCCCAGAGAAACCAGTTTCCCAGCTATACCCTTAAAAATCCTTGACAAGCGATTGAAGTATTTTGATTTTACGTTGAGCTTTGATAGGAAATTAATAAACGAAATAGTATTAAAAAATTTGCAAATCAAATAAATAATTTTGTTTATATTTTAAAAATATTTTTAAAATATTCTTCTATTTTTGATAAGTTTAAAAAATATTATAATTTCATTTCTAAAATAGTTTTTGAATATAAATTTGTATTCTAAAAATCTACACATATTTTAATTTGATGTCTAGACGATGTTTCTATATTTTTCCAGTTTACTACCATCAATTTTAATATTTTTATATATTTTAAGCACTTAGGGTATCTGAACTTCTTTGACTCCCCATCGAGCTGACATTCTTATAATTTTTCTGCTGTTGTCTGTTGGCTTTTGCCCGCTTCCTTTTGGAATTTCTGCTGGCTTTATGAATGAAAATGTTTTTTCTCTGCTTGTTTGCGGTTGGGGCATGCTTCCGTTAAGGCAATCCAGAAAAAAATAAGAGAGAAAAAAGCAAGCAAAAGTGGCACGGTCAGTCTGCGTGCCCCTGGCGATTCCTCGACTTTGCCTATGCAAAGTATTATTATATACATAAATATAAGAAATCATCTCGTTCGTTTTTTTTTTCTTTGCTTTTTGAGAAGCCGGCCGTACACAAATCTTTTCTACTTCCGGCTTGCCCTGAGTCTCTCTAAGAGTTCTCGCAGCCTGAGAGTTTTCACTGGAATTCTCTGGGACTCGGACCTCAAATCGGAAGACAGATAGTGACCTAACAACTTCCGTGTTACTTCCGCTTCTTCGGCTCCATCTTCCACTTCCGTTTCTAGCAATTTTAATTGAATTTTCGTGTAAACACACCGACTTCGGGGCAATCCCAATACTTATATCTTGACCAGAAACTCTCGGCTCGCCCTGGGATCAAAACTGAGGCTGAGCCGGCATACTTCCGCTTTCTCCGGCCACATGACGACGCCAGATTGCATAATTCTCTAGCCCGAAAAAAAAACACAGAAAAATAAGAAGAATAACCCAAAATCGGAGTGGGGGAAAAAACAAAAAAAAAAAAACAATGTGAAAAGGAAATGTATAGAAAAATCATTAACGCACAGACAAAAGATAACAGAGGGTAAGGGGATAGGATATAGCGGAGACTACCTGATGGCAACACACTTGTGGCAGGCGGCAGGCTGCTGCCATCCATCCGTCTCGACTAACGGTTGGTACATCGGAAAATCGGAAAATCTCCGGCCCGGACGTTGATCGTCGTCGTGTGTGCGTCAACGCCCTCATGGGAACCGAAACCCACGAAAGAATTACGATGGTCGGGAAGGTGGGAGGGGGTAAAAGAGACTCGACCAACTGTTGCCGCTGCACCGGGAAAACTCAGACATCTTCCGTTTGTTGTGTGGAAATTTATGTCATTGATTGTCCTTTGGTTTCGTTCGGTTATTGATAGCACCAGATGGGGGCGAAAATGCACAAAAAAAAAAACGAGCAAGGCCCAGCAGGTGCAGTCGCCGGTATTTGATACTATTTTGCAAAAGTCATAGTCAGGCTAGGCTATTGAGAAAGTCTATTCAGCAGTAATTCAGAATAGGGAGAACCAAAACCATATTAAAATTATTATTATTATAAACTTGGAATTGTTTTTTTTAGCTTTTCTTTAATCACCATTTAAGTAATATTTCTTAGGAAGAAACTAAATCTATGAAAAAGGGCGACTTTAATATTTTTTAGGTATTTATTATTAAATCCCTTTAGAAATCCCTCCCAATTGGCACCACTGTCTTGTGCAATTGTAGACACCTCACTTCCGTTGCGTGGAGTGGCATTCCCGGCATTCAGGCAGCCACATGAGGCATGACAGCAATGAGGCTAGAAGTAGCTCCAAGAATTCCACTGAGGGGAGTTCCCCTTGTCTTAGGCCCATCCCCTCCATTTGGAGGTTGTGTGCGGGGTTAATTTGATTCAATTAAAGAGAGGGAATGGGAGAAGGGTTCCCCATTTCAGGCGGCTTTCCATTGAAATCAAAAGTCACACAAAAGTTTGTCAATGCTTGCCGCCTCACGTTGCAGTGTCCAGCTGAAAAGCTGCTCCAGAGAAGGGAAAACGAGGGGGAATGAAAGGGAAAACTCAGCTTTTATTGTCTTTGGCGCGTTCTCAACTTCCGTTGGCACTGCACTTTGACACATGAGGCTAATTGTTTGGCTGCTCGGGGAGCATGTACATATGTATGAACACGCGTGCTGCTGATGGAGATCGGGCAAATTATAAAGTGTGGCAGCAGCTTGGACCCCCCCCCCCTCTCACACACCTTCTTTGGGGAGCTGTTAAACCGGAAATCCGGTTGCCTTCTCTCCCTTCTTGTGTTTGCTTTTTTCTGTTGGCCCGGCAAAACTTTTACTACTCTTCCAGCTTCTTCGACAACACAGAAACTTTCGTGTTGTTTATAAGTTGATTCTACTCGTACACCGAAAGAAATTTATTTTACAAATATTACTGCTTTTTTTTTTTTTTTTTTATTTTTTTTTTTTTTTTTTTTTTTTTTTTTTTTTTTTTTTAAAAAAAATTTTTTTTTTTTTTTTTTTTTTTTTTTTTTTTTTTTTTTTTTTTTTTTTTTTTTTTTTTTTTTTTTTTTTTTTTTTTTTTTTTTTTTTTAAAATTTTATTAAAAAAAAAAAAAAAAAAAATTTTTTTTTTTTCTTTTTTTTTTTTTTTTTTCGGGGGGAGAAGTTTTTTTAAATTTTTTTTTAGTGTTATTATTTTTAAATTTTTTTTTTTTTTATTCCGGGGGGGTGGAAACTGGATTTTTTTATGTAAAGGGGGGGGTTTAAAGGGCCAGGACCAATTTTTCAACGATTAGAAGGTTATTTTTAAAAAAAATTGTAAACATAAACTTTTTTTATATTATTTCTTTAATTTCATCAGTCATTTATCGTAGGGTTACGGTCCTAAAATTGCTTATAGAATTTGTGTCAATTCTGTTCATTTTTATTTACAATAGTTGATAGCCAAATACGCATTGAATTTCTCTGCGTGCATCTATTGTGAGCTTCGCAGAGATGATCTGATGGCACTGGAATGCCGATGAAGCATGTCTTCTTTGATATGCTGCCCCTGCCCTGTGATTTGCTTATCAATATGTAAAATTTTATACGTATAACGGTGATGTCTTTGAAGTGCCATTTCCCGACACAACAAGAAAAAAGGGAAGAAAAAAAGACCAGAGAGTGAAAAAAACACTGAAGGGGAAGAAATCTCAATAAACATGCTCGAATTTCAAAGAATTTCTCACGCTGCTTACTCGACGGACCCCCCTATAAAACTCCACTTTTGGCATATCCTGTCAGGGGAGGATTGACAATGGTTTCATAGCTCCCTGCCCCGCTTGTGTTCAAACGGAAAAGAATCTCAGCAATGCCCGAAGCTCCTACTTGAAATATGAATAATCAAAGTGAAGACAAATTCGCTCCTCGAAAGGGTTAAGGACTTCGGAAGGTGCTATGGCCAAAAAACTGGGTCAAAAATGCGTGGGAATCTCAAAGAGCTCGCCAAGCAAAGGAAGTTCCGGAAGCGACATTATAAAAAAAAAACAACAAGAGGAATCAGGAAGTAAATAAAACTAATAAAGTGAATAAGGAAGGCAGGCAGACGACTTCCGGAGGGGAATGAGACAGAGAATTGTCATAGAGAACGAGAGCTCCGGTTCAATTGAGCAAAAAGGTAAAAGGTCAGGCACAACCTGTTTCGGATTCCGATTCACTTCCGCTTCGTCTACGGCTAATCCCTTTTTGAATATGTGTGTGTGCACTCACTTATTTACTTCCGTCAGTTGCACTAAATCACTTCCGGACTTCCGGTATGCGCTCTCCCAAAAAAGGAACGAACAAAAAGGAAGGACCTCAAGGAATGACCCTAAACAGCTCAGGTAGCAGCAGGTGCAAGTCGAAAACCCTAAAAATAATTTGAATAAAAATCAAGGGAAAAGTGGAGAGATAGAGACTGAAATGAAATTGAAACCAAACAAAAGGAAAAAAAGGGATAACACAAAAAAAAACACAAGGTGCGCGACAGTTCCACTTAAAAAATTGATTGCTTTCGATAATTTCATTGGAAACCTGTTGTTGTTGCTGCTTTCAAGCATCACTGACAATAAAATCGAATGATAGAAGGAATCAGCCTCTGGAGTGGCATCCTCGAAAAGCACCCATCAGTTGCTAGTTGTTGGTTTTTATGTTACGACCAGGACACAACACAATGCATAAGTTTTTATTGGCCCCGACTTGGGCAAACAACAACAGATCCAAACTTTTGGGGCCCATTCACTCTCAGTGTTTAGAGAATTCAATTAATGAAATGTATTTGCCGGAGAGCAAACAAACAAACAAGCACACAAACACACCAAAAGTTATCCTCGCCGGGCTTTAGTCGTTGTAGTTATGTTAATCAAGCTGCCAAAATTGTGTTGACACAAGCGGCTACTATTGAAGGGTTCGAGACATTTCGGGCCTTTATGGTTTGTTTATCATATGGTAATTTGGCAAATAATCAAAGGAATCATCAAGAGGATAATAATGAACTTTCATGGGCTTAAATATAATATGTTTCATTGATTTTTCAAAGTTTATACCGGAGCAATTGATATCCTTATTGCTATTTAAAACGTATGGGATGTTGTTTAATATATCTACATATTTAAAATAAATTTAAAAAAATGTAGAGGGTAACAAATATTTTAACCCTACTTTTTTTTACTTTTTTTCAAGGAAATATGTTTTATTGATTATCAAAAGTCTATACCGGGGCAATTGATGTCCTTATTGCTATTTAAAGCCTATGGGATGTTGTTTGATATATCTATATTTTTAAAACAAATTATAAAAAATGTAGAGGGTAACAAATATTCTAAATATTTTTTTAAATTTTTATTCAAGGACTCTGAGGATGATTTGCCCATCTGTGCCCCGAATGCGGTCTGTTCCAAGATCGATCTGTACGAAACTCCCTGGATTGAGCGCCAGTGTCGCTGTCCCGAATCGAATCGCATGCCCAACAATGTGATCATCCATCATCACGGTCATCCGTCGGGATCTTCAGATTCTCCGAAGTACAGGAACTACTACGAAAGGGAGAAGATGATGCAGCACAAGCGAATGCTTTTGGGTGAATTCCAGGATAAGAAATTCGAGAGTCTGCACATGAAGAAGCTAATGCAGAAATTGGGCGCCGTCTACGAGGATGATTTGGATCGTCTGGATCAATCGCCGGATTATAATGATGCCCTGCCATATGCGGAGGTGCAGGATAATGAATTTCCACGCGGATCGGCGCACATGCGACACTCGGGACATCGGGGATTGAAGGAGTCGCCGAACACATTCATTGGCGGCTGTCCCAGTAGTTTGGGCGTGGAAGATGGTCACACTATTGCCGATAAGACCAGACACTATAAAATGTGCCAGCCGGTGCATAAGTTGCCAGTTTGCAAGTAAGTTAACAAAAATTCACATACACACTATGAAATAATAACTGGTTCTTTTTGAAGAATTTTTTTTATATTTAAAATTTTAAAAATAAATTATCTAATTAAAATATTTTTCCTCTTTTTAAAGGCATTTTCGGGACTACACTTGGACTTTGACAACGGCAGCCGAGTTAAATGTGACGGAGCAGATAGTCCACTGTCGGTGTCCCCGGAACTCGGTGACCTATCTCACCAAGAGGGAACCTATCGGCAATGGTAGTCCAGGCTACAGATATCTTTTCGCCTGCTCTCCTCTGACGGTGAGTTCATAGAGCAAGATTAATTTAAAATTTGGCTATAATATTAATTTCGTTTTCTTTTCATTTAGCGCCTTCGCTGTCAGCGGAAGCAACCGTGCAAATTATTCACGGTGCGAAAGCGTCAGGAGTTCCTCGACGAGGTCAACATCAACTCGCTGTGCCAGTGCCCCAAAGGTCACCGATGTCCCAGTCATCACACGCAGTCCGGCGTGATAGCCGGCGAGAGTTTTCTGGAGGACAACATACAGACATATTCCGGTTACTGCATGGCCAACGACTGAGGGGCCTCTTCACCACCACGGGGATCATTCCACACATCAACACAAAACACTAAAAACACTTTGTAAAGGAGGATTGAGAATGAGCGGAGGAGCAGCTACTATATTAGATATCGACTGAGCCAATTGAGTCTCGCCAAGTTACCAACTAATGAGAAGGGAAAAACGAACAAATACAAGCTTAGAACTTAAAGTGCACTTCCACACACACACACACAAATCATTTTCAAGTTTTAAAAAGGAGCGTGTTTCTTTTGCTACCAAATTTTGGTCATAAAACGTATGATATAAATATTTAATTAGTTTTAAGCATCGATATGTGCGCAGTTTGTTATACAAATAATTTGTAATGAATATTTATGAAAACAAGAGCAAAACCTGCAACGAAGGAGGGCCAGACCTTCCCTTATGTAATATAGCAACAAACTATACTCGTAATCTAACCCGCATAAATTGTATATATTTTAATATATGTATAACTAAAAAAAAAAAAAAAAAACAGTTTCAGTTATAATTTAAACGGAAATTACGTAGAGCAACGCAGCAAACGTCAAAGAGCAGGATGTGCCAAATGTGCAGATAGGGTGCAGTTAGTTAACGTAAGGATATATCATTGAATAATTCATAGCGAGGGCAGTTCGAAACTGTGACAACTCTGGCAGCTATTTAGTGCAATTTTTGTGACGTCTTCAAAGCTATTTCCTTTGAGAGCAAACTCAGCGATGAGTTCGCAGGGAAATTAGAAATTAATTTAGAAATTGCGCACTTCATGTAAACGTATTGTACCCACCATGACTCCTCCTCTTCCCTCTAACTATGCATATGTACATCGATTTAAGCTACAAGATTTGGTTTTTTCGAAAAACGAGCAAAGAAATTCAGCGAAGTTTGGGTTTAAACACTTTGTAAAAAGGCAAAAATAAATTTTAATTTATGAAAAACTAAATGGAACCATTGTTTTTCTTTTAAATATCTTTTTATAGGTGTAATTATTTAATTATAACTGATTTAACGTCAACTATACTATGTATATTGCCCCTACAAGTGTGCTTCATAAATTATTATCTACTACCACAATCAATTATTTGGTCGTATACTTTTTGGGGCTATAGTTATTTTAAAATATATTGCCTACTTTTTGGAATGAAATAACGAATTTTACATGTAATGTAAACAAGTTTAAATTTAAAACAAGACGTAAAGTTAGATAAACTTCTGTACAAAAAATAATCAATTATATTAAAAATATTGAAATATTTATTAATTTAAAATTAATGTGAAGGAGGTTTTTTTTTCCTCAACTATTTCAGATATTATTATTTGACTAGCGCCCTGCCACCAACCTAATTTAAAGCAAAATAATGATTCGAAGCTTAATAAACAAATATATTTATGTGTGCAAGACAAAAGAAATATTTACATTGCTACTCAAATATGAATTTACTTTAGCCGAATTGAACAATTAAAATCACACATCACACCTTCAAAAAACGTAAAATAGGGCTTATAAGAAAACCATCCAAGAAAATCCTCAGCCCACACATCAGTCAGCAAAGCGAATGAAGCCAATTATAACGCCATAAAATTACATTTCTAGCTAATAACCGACAATTACGGAACTCGGGATTTGCTGTCTTAATTCTTGACCAAATTGCCACATGCCTTATGCATCCATCAAAAATTATTCAACCGAAGAAGTGCTTCCTCTCTAAACTCTGCTCAACCAAAAACAATTAAAACTAAAGCAAAAGTAACCGTAGAAGCCAAAAGCCGAAGCTTAAGCAGCTGAAAATGCAAATCATTGGACCAATGTTGATTAGAAAGCAGCTGGCGGCGCCTGAAGAAGAAGTCAAGACCCGTCATATAATTAAATAAATACCTCAAGATGCTCGAGAGGTTTGAGCCATCACGGCCTAGCCACAAATTCAATTACTGACAATCCATAAAAAACAAGACAACAACAAAAAATGTATCAAGAATTATGTTTTGCTTATGTATATAAAAAAAATTACCTATTCCACCGAAAGAAAGAGGTGTAAAAATATGCAGTGCGAAAAGCCAAAGCTGAATCATAAAAAACGCTCACAAAAAGATGAGTACTTCTTTTTATGACCATTACCGGAAGAAGTCGGAGCATGGGAGAAATATGCCATCGACTCTACGAGAGTTCAGCGAATGCATAAAGCGGATTTAATATTAAGCATACAAGATCCTCAAAATCGTTTAGTGTGCCAACTAATTAGCCAAAGATCTTAGAAAAATGAATGAGATCTTGGGAAGAGGGGCCTCCGCAGCAGCCCATATAAATGTGGCCACATGAAAACAGACAGAATGGGCACAGTTAGAAGACAGTTTATAGCATTAGCCCCTTAACAAGACCCAGCGAAGAATGAACAACCAACCGAAGACACAGCACAGACACTTAAAAACTTTAATTAGAGTTTAAGGAGCTCGGTACATTTTTCATTAGGCTGGCTCTTCTGTCCATGAAATTCACTCACTTTTAGCCATCCCAACAGAGAAAGATACAGACACAGACACCGAAATTGCCAGCAGTTAGCCGCAGAAATAATTCATTGTCGCCCATTCCTCCGCGTTGTCCTCAATCTCGATCTGAGGTCGGCAATTTTCACTTCAACATGGTGTTCTTGTCCCCAGAAACCGATGTTTTGGGCTCAATAAAAGTCGAAACTGAGATAATAGAAAGTAAGTGGCTCTGCTCTATATGTGACTCGCAAATGATTGTTCTTAAAAAAAATTATCGACAAGTTGCAGCATAAATCATTTATTTATTCAATAAATTAAAAATTTATGTTTGGAATTTATATAATTTTATGATCGCTAAAATTGTTACTTATAACATTGCCGCCTCTCTAATGAAATCTCCAGTCTTTCTAAGAAGATTCCCGAAGTCATCTATCATATGAATTCCTGAGTAATTATTATTTTGGCGAAAGTTTCATCACCCATCAAAACGCAGCGGGTCTGAGTTGACTGACTTTGCTACTGTTGCACAGATGCCGTCGATAACTAATTATTTCCACTCATCTTTCGGCAGCAAAAAGGAGGCAAAAAGCTGCTAAGGTGTCTGCATTTTCGATATTTATGAGCCATCATCATCGGCATCGGCCGACTCTTCTCTTCTCTTCGACGCCCTCGCCAGCCCAAAAAAGCTGGGATACTGAACCTCGGCTCAGATGAACGGCCATATATTGATTGATTGGCTTTGATTATTGGCCGGACAGCCGATGGCTGAAATTTGCATGCCAAAAGCGACATAGGGAGATATTGGTTGCAGGGCTTCGGGTTATTGGATCCGAGATTTATATGCATCATTAGAAAATGCCAACAGAGCTTCTGCTCTTTCGCTGTTCGTAACTTTCTTTCGCATCATTAAAATGAACCACAACAAATTAGCCGCAAAACAAAAACAATACTAAGAACTGTCCACAAATATCAAGAGTCCGTAAACAAAGTTGCATGTCTTGAAGAAAAACATATTTAAGCACTGGAAAAAAAAAAGAGGAATAAAGAAGGGGTTTCAAGTGAAAAATATAAATAAAGTCAAGCATAAACTGAAAAATAATAATTATTTTTTTAACATATTTTAGGAATATATTTTAGAGTTGTTAAATGTATTAAAATCTGAAAGATTTCTAGGTGCCGTTCTTGATTTTCCCAGTGCACGAAGAAATTTCTTTCGTGTCCGAAAAATTTCTTCATTTGCGGGTCACTAATTAGACGCGATTTGTTCGTCCGAACTGACATGCAATCTCCCCCAAGAGGAAGACACCAGAAAGTGAGATGGGGGAAGTGGGAACAACCCAACCCGGCCCTTTAAATGGCCAACATCTGCATAATTATGCGTTGTTGGTGGAAGGTGCTTATGCAGCTCAATGAATTTAATTGGTCAACATTAGGCTCTTATCAACATTTTTGCCTGGGAGAAATGAGAAATGTGAAACAGAAGCGCAGAGGGCTCACTCAAATATAATTATTCTTAATATATATATTTATACAGGTACTTTTTTGCGGCTCTTTTCACCGTTTTTTGTTACCTGTCCATACAGGAAGCACTCAGATGAAGATTTCACCTGTTGCTTAGAAAGTGAAATTTTCTGTGGATTTAATTTGTGCTTTTATTTTTATTTCTATTTCTATTTCTATTTCTGTTTTGAGCTCTGTGGGATAATTTAAATGCGATAAGACATTAATCAATGCAATTAGCGTAACAATTGCTTATTGATATCCGATGGATGTGGGTTTTCGGCTGGACAAATGTGTACCAAGAAATCTTAATGGCATTTTAATGGGAGCAGAGGCATCAGCGGCAGCAGCAGGGTGAAAGTTTATCGATTTATTTTTTGGAAGCTGGCCGAGGAGGAAAATCTGTGATATGCAAAAAGCCGCGCTTAATGGCGAATCCAGACAATGCAATAAACTGCAACAATAAAGCAATAACAGTAACAATAACAATAATTGTAATAGCCAAAGTGCAGTGCCAAGTCATCGCCGATTCAAATGGAGATGGAGTTTGAGTTTGAGTTTGCGTTGAAGATGGAGATGCAGGCGAGGTGCGGCCACAAAACGAAAGCCGAAAGATCCAAAAGATACAAGATACAAATCATGCATTACAATGGCTAGAGGCAGAGGCACTGGCACATGCATTGAAATTGAAAGTAACACACGACTGCAACTTGATGATGATTTTCTAATTGCACAAAAGCCGAGAGAGAGATGACTCAAGTGCCTCCGAAAGGTGTTAAGTATGCAAAATGACGAGCAGCTTAGCTCTCGAGTTAACATCTCCAAGCCCCCGAACCGAGAAATAAAAAAAAGAAGTCATGTTGTAATATTTACGGCCAACAGAAATACACATTCGTGTGGGCGGGGTCAGCGCGCCTTTTTGGCCCAAAAGCGAGCGGTAAAAGTCGCCAGCGATTTTGACCCCACAGCCCCAAAGCGGCAGCAGATTCGCATCTTTCAGATACTTTTACATGTACTTTCTCTACTTAGAGTTAGAGTTTGGCTCTGGCATCGCACAATTTTTTCTCAATCTTATTTTTGTTTCTCCTCCTTTGCCTTTTAGGCCGCGCCTAATCGGAATTTGTGCGCAGGCGAGGAGATGGAGGAGGATCCGGAGGAGGAGACCCCCAAGATCACTGGAGATCAGTGGCAGCGACAACGCTTTGATGTTGTAATTAACTTTCATTAGACTAGGCAAACAGCTCGCAAAAAAATTATCGCAAAAACGTTGGTAAAAACTCAAAGAAATCTCTTCAAATTTGGAACTTCCGTAAGCGAATCTCGCATTTAAGTCTTTAGTTGGGTTTTTTTCGCGGCTTACCTTCTTTTTTTTTTTGGCACTTCCCGGTAGAGGGGCAAACTAAATTTCACTTTCGCTACACAATATCAACAGCGATTTAAGTGTGTGCTATATTTAAGTATTTACTCGGCCAACAATACAAAAAGTGAGCTCAACAAAAGACAAATAAACGTTAGCTGGAAATACCC